GCTCTCTTTGTTTTCACAGTAGAGCTGCTGAGGTAGACAGACAAATATTTGTGGGAGAGGTGCAAGCACTGGTTGTTGGTTGTGTCGTGAGCAAAACGGTTGAATAACAATGTGTTGTGAGTTGTGTTGCTTTTATTTGAATCCTGATTAGCAGATTTAAAAGAAAAATCACCTAAAAATTGGTTAAAATGAACAACATTAGTCATTAAAAAAGTTTGTTGTAGAATATGATTATTTATTAAAAAGGTGGTCTTTAATATAATTGAGTTTTAAGCAAAATACTATCCAATTGGAAATACATGGTACATATATAAAATAAATATTGATTTGTGTTTTTGGGATTGTGAGGTTTACACTGCAGTTCAAAAGTTTTTTTATTATTATTATTATTATTAATAATACTTTCATTCAGCAAATTCAAATTAAATTGAAAAGTAACAGTAGAAGAAAAGAATCCTGAAAAGAGTATCAAGGTTTCCACCAAAATATTAAGCAGCACAACTGTTTTCAGCATTGATAATAAGAAGAAATGTTTCTTGAGCACCAAATATTTTTTTTTTTAATGAAGGACCATGTAGAACTGTTTTTACTGTATTTTTATCAAATAAATATGACATTGGTGCATGGTGTGTGTGGAAAATTGATTGTAGGTTAAACCTGCATTCCATAGCTTTTTTGGGGTTAAAAATGATCCAATATACAAAAACCCAGAGCTGCCAGCATTTGATTGGTTTCAACCAGGGGTACGTTTCTCGAAAGCATTGTTAGCCAACTATTGTCACAAGTTCCGTCGTTATCATCATAGTTCAACGAGTCGGTGTTTCCCGAAACAATCGTTCCAACAAACATTCGTAAACAGCATTGCAGTTGTGTGGTTTGAACGACAGCTCTCGACCTGTGGTTAGAGGCATAGTTTCTATATTGCATCACATTTGGAGGTAAAAAATTCTTATCTTGAGCAAAATAAGCAAGCTGACATTCAGTACAACCGGTGCCTTTTATTTAGAATTCATACAAATGTAATTTACGTCTTTTAGTTTTGCAAAAGATTTAAAGTACCGATTTTGAAGAGTGCGCATATGCGAATGTGCTCTACTATGTAAGAACGAGCCAAATATTGAGTCTGGTAATAAAGCAAAATAACAGAACAATTTGAAATACTCCTCAGATGACATGTCTGTAATTTATATATAAAAAAATCTAGCGTTAATTGGATCTCAAACAGTTTCATTAAAAGTAGTTAATACTCCACCACGTGCGAAACCAACGTGGTTGAACGATACTTTGCGACAATGGGTTTCAGGAGACAGTCGTGACTTGCAAGTTGATTTCTCCAACGATGCATTGCACTATAGCCTAGTAGTGAATCAGCGAACTACATAGTTGTACGGGAAACGCACCCCCGGTCGGTCAAATGCCTGGAAGATGAGTTTATCTATAAATTCTATAGAGCCACTCGTGTTTGACAAGTTAGCTGCAAATTAGTTAAAATCTAGAGAGAGCGCGCACGCGAGATATGCTCCAAAACGCGTAGCGCATGCACACGGCAGAGAGGAAAAGTGAGCGAGAGACCTTGAAAGCATCCATCCCCTACTCCCCCCTCCCGTCGGAAAAGTCTCACTCCAAGCTAAACTCAAAAGATGGCAGATATGATAACCAGTGTTCAAAACTATCTGCTTGCCTTAGCTCGATTCAAAGCGGTAAGATTGTAATGATGTTTTTAATTCCAGTGGTACTGGTGGATTTCCACGGGAGATTTGAGCATGTCTTTGCGTCTTTACATCACATCTGTACACATAAAGAAGAAGTCTCGGCTAGTAGCCTAGGCTATATTGCGTGTGAGGATGTTGGAGATGGAGATTTAAAGCCTTTTCTCTCAGCACTTGATATAATTAAACTTATCAATGTGATGGCAGATCCAGAAAGGTTCAAACGACAATCACCAGTGACAACAGATTCACCTGCTGTAAAATGCAAAAGACTAAAAAAAAAGAGATTGCAACAAGCCCATGCGAAAACAAGGATACATATCGGAATGACAAAATGTAGTCACGCAATGCTGACATTGTTAACTTTAACAATTTGAGAACGAAGTATAATTTGCATGGTTTTGCATGAGATGATGACTTATAAGCAATTGTTAGATTTAATCAGCGTGATTTACCGCAATGTCAGAGATCAGAGCAAAAGGGGATGTTTCTTACTAGTTCAGATTACATTTCTTCTGAAATTATTGTGTTGGTCATACTTCCAAAAACAATAATCAGTGATTCTGAATGGCAGTATCCACACCAGCGCGGTGACTGACAGCCTCACAGTCTCCTCAAACATGTTCATCTGCACTGTGCCGTGTCGAGGGTGTTCAAGTAAACTCACGTAAAGTTGATATTTCCGCGAATGACTGCAATTGCAGATTTCAAACAGAGATGGCGACAAAGAGGAAAAACTGCGGACTGCAGCTTTAAAATATTTATTGTTTTAAAATATTTAGACTGTAGCAGGGACGTGCTCAGGGGGGTTGCTAAGGTAGCCCGGGCAACTGCCCATATGCCCGAGAAAAACAAAAAATTCGCAAAGCCTCATTCACTTCCATTCTGGCACCGAGAGTGTTAAAGTCAGTAAGGGAACTGTAGAGCTCTTGAGATACAGTGTTGCCCTGGATAAGTGTCATTATTCACAAATATTTCAGATTCAGACAGCCAATCAAAACCAAGTATTCCAGAGATTCGTGGAATGAATCTAACCAGTGTTTTGCTCAGTGGCCCCTGACCTTTGTATTTCTATTACTGCTGAGAGAGATGTGCAGGTGTTACTTTTGGGGTCAAATTTGCCACTCTCTCCTTGCTGATTGGTGGAAATGGTGTAGACTACTCGTTTAAGTGGAAAACTGAAATCGGTGTACTGCTTTATTATTAATAAGAGACTAAGTTTGAGCTGCACAAGTCCCTTTGTTTTCCATTTCAGCATCTTATGTTTTCTTGCAAATCCCATTTTTTCTGTCTTGACAGATGTCTTTATTTCACACACCAGCTGCTCTTTAAAAGTATGTTAGTCTCTCTTTCTTAAGGTAATGTTTTTCCCATGTTTTCCCTGAGGCTCTTCTCAGTTCAAAACGTTCATTATAAAACTGTAAGTTGTCTGTGAAAACAAATAGTGACTTTCTCCTATTCATCTTCACCCAATAACCACACGGCTGACCTGTAGACTGCACAGACATGCTGAGGCTGTTCTGAGTCACTCTTCTTCACAGTACATTTCGTAAGTTCCTGGCGATGTCTGCGGTCTTGTCAGTCTGTGCTCATGACCTGTCTACCTGCTAATCAGCCACCTCTTGGATTTCTACCCAGTTCTCTGCATGGCTCCTTTCACAGCCATTGTCGCCCCCTCACCTCAGAGTCCGACAGCTCAGCTCAAACACCGCTCATCTCTGCCTCCATGTTCTGAATCACCCACACAGTGTCTGCAGGTTGACACTAAGCTAGTGAGTGCGATCACGAGGGGATGTCATCTCCCACCCGCAAGTCACACCATGGGGCCTTCAGAGACACAAAGCATTTCTGTGCTCATGTGTGCATGTACATGAGACAACATCTACAACATGTTCCTCTGCCAGTCTCCCTGTCCTTGGCTGTCTCATGCACTCTGTCTCATACCTTCACTAGAGTTGTACCTTGTGTTACATCATTATGACTCCCAGCACTTTTCCTGTAATCTCATCTATAATGCCTTCACTCAATCGCCTCTTCACTCCGTCAGTGTCTGCTTTTCTCTCCGAGAGCGGATGCTCGTCGCCAGACCTAGGCTTTTGGATTATGCAAATTTAGCTCCAGCCTGTTCACACGTGGATGCAATGGGGCATGAAACAGGGAGTGCACTTGCTGCAAAACTTTTCACTTTATTCATTCAGAGAGGGGGAGAAAATCGTTTCTCAGTGTTCCTTCTCTATTTTTTAAAAACGTTTTACTTCTTTATTTAAAAGAACCATCATACGATTTAAATAGCACTGAGATTATCTATGTATCCTTTCATATTCTTCACAGTCTTGATTTCTTTGCGTGTTCATAAAATATAGAGACACAACACTTACTGTGAGCTAATGATTTTTATGTTGTTGGATATTGTTCAGGCACTCTAGGCTTTCAAAAAAAAAAAAAAAATATATATATATATATATATATATATAAAAAAATCTGCTTGACAAAAGTGTTCAAACCTTCTTCCTTTAATTTGATATTTTGGAGCTTTAATTTTATAAGGAAAAGAAAAGAAATGTAATATGCTTATTTCGGCAGCTTTCAGTTCTTTTTTTGCATGGAATTTGGAAATTTGCTTAAATTGGCAGGAGAGGAGCACACTGCATATATATATATATATATATATATATATATATATATATATATATATATATGAAGAGTTCAGATGCAAAAGCCTCTAAATGCCATTTGAAATTTTCTTCTTTAATGATGATTTTTATCAAACATGTATATTTAAGTTCAGTAATTTCACTTAAATAACAATTAATAGGTAATTATCATTGCCATTTAAATATAATCACTGAACTTAAATATACAAGTTTGATAAAAAATCATCATTAAAGAAGAAAATTTCAAATGACATTTAGAGGTTTTTGCATCTGAACTCTTCATATATATATAATTCCTTTAAAAAAAATAGACAAAGATTTCAATGTGACATTTCGGTCACACTTTAGATTAGGGTCCAATTCTATCAAACCAATAACTACGACTTTTGCCTCAATAAACTTCTAATTACTGCCTATTATTAATAGTTAGTAAGGTAGTTGTTAAGTTTGCAGAATAAAGCATTAATATGTGCGTTGTAAGTACTAATAAACAGCCAATATCCAAGTAAAATGCATGCTAATATTAAGGAACTAGAATTGGATCCTAAAGTGTTCCTGACATTTCTTACAATGAACAGACCATACAACACAACACAACCAATACATGCATGCTATTAAAAACCACTGATTGTCTTACCTGATAAAGCCCCCTTGGAAAAAGAAAAAAGACAAGACGTATAAAATCCTTATGACCTGAAGGAGCATTCTCTTGCTCAGACTCTCTCTCTCTCTCTCAGTTCGTTTGAAGAACTTACACTCTACAGAATTACCAAATCCAAAGAGGAGCAGGTAAAAGTCGACAGGATTGCATTGTCTTGCAGAGTGATCCAAGCCTGTCTGTGAGGAAACTTCTTCTGGCTTCCTCCCTGCTCACTTCTGTTGGCTGGAAAATCCTCCACAGTGTCCCCCTCCCCTCTTCAGATGTCAGCGAGAGTAGGTGAGAGCGCAAGCATGTCTATGTGTCTGGGTTTGTGTTTTGAAGAGACTATGTGCTTTTCCCTTTCTTTCTCGTTCTTTTTTATGACCAGCTGCTCGCTCCAGGAATTATAATGGTGAGGGTTTAAAGGGCCAGCAGCGCATTTGAAGACAGGGAGATGGCGTGTGGTGAGCCCACTGAGAAGAGGAGCAGAAAGAGGAGGATCTAGGAGATCGGAGAGGGGGGTGGAGGTTTTTCTATGGCTTTGTTTATGATAGTTGTTTCTCTCTCTCCCTTTTTCTCTGTGTGGAGCATTTCAAGGCTTTTCTTCATTACACAATTGTATGTACTTGGAGCGTGAAGGAAGAGGAAGGAGACCCAAAAGAGCAAAATCTTACGCACAATGTCAGTAAAGATTATGGTTACTTTTACGTTCTGTAATAAGGTCTGAAAAAACTATATACCATTCAGATCAGAAGGAAAGGACTTGTTAGAGGCACAAAACTTATTTTAGCGTTAGCTAAGTGTCTATTACCAACATAATCCAATCTGAATTTAATTAATACATTATTCGACCAGAACTAACTGTTTTATATTTACAAATATAGGTTGCAAACATGATATCAGGAAGAAACGGAATACGCACATGACGACAGGAAAGTGATGGCGGTGCTTAAATCGAATTACCCCTCCCACTTCTGCTAGTTTTACTGAGATAGCTTATGCTGTGTGAATTGGTCATTATTATTACAGACGTCCTGTGCAAAATAACAGAAATCCATCTACCCTTGTAAAACTAATCCCATCCGAACAGGGCTTAAAATACATTTTAATTAAATATGAGTAATCCAGACCAGTACAAACCACCTTAGACCAGCATTAAAATCCCATTCAGCTGGGTGTTGAAGAAAAAAAATGGCTGTTTTTGACTTTGTAAACTTGAGATGAAAAGGCACCACATGAGAATTTTTTAATTCTGAATGAAAAAGTACTTGTGGCTCCTGACCATCAAATTACATCAGCTGGAGTCATTCATCTTCTCAGCGGATGACACCGCTGATATCACGGTCTCCTAAGGAGATACAGGTCTTGCTCTTTTTAATCTTTTCAGGGGGGAGAAAATGTGAGATTTAACGCTCACCTCTACAAATATGTTTGTGCTCCTGATGTACAGCGCCTGGCTTATGAAAGATGCATTAGAGCCTGTAATATGAATGAGCCAGAAGTGTGAGGCTTGAAAACACAAGCAACCCCTCTTTTTTATTATTGTATATATATATATATATATATATATATATATATATACTGTATATTAGAATAAATAGCATCGGCTGGTGATTGTATTTGTAATTTGTATTGGTGTCAAGACCGCAGGTACCAATACCTTTATGCTGAGCTAACTCTCAGGCTTCCCTTGTGTATGGTGCTCACATGGCTGTAGGCTGACCCAAAGAGCCCTATAGGACTGCTGACATGGGGCCAGGAGATCCATCCGTCACTCTGCTGGGACCAAACACCATGAAGGGGCATACAAGTGGAAACCAAATATAGTTGAATATCAATTGCTGTGACATCTCTTCCCTATTGGCTGCTATTTCTTGGCCAAAAATGAAGTCGTTAAATCACTCGTTTACACCTGTTGTCTCTGCTGTCCTTCACAGCTCCAGGAATCCTGTTACCTGATTCATTGTACTGTAGTACTGCAGATCTCAGTGACTCCACTACACTAGCAGGTACCAATGAAAATGTATTCACAGATCTATTCAGATTAGAAAGTTTTAGATGTGTCTTTTGCATATTACAAAATGATATGCATCAATGAATGCATTCATGTAGGTTACTCACTATTATGAACAATCCAGTTCCTAAATTCTTCAATTCCCTACCCTCCTTTTTGACATTAGGCACATACAGTACTGTATAACCAATGTTCTTAGGTAAATAAGAGATAACATCATGAAGTTCATTCAATATTTTAACACGATAAATTGATAAAAGAATGAATGTATTTGTTTCAAAATTAACAAAAATAATACTGTTGACCAATACTGACGGTGTTGACAAAGGACATACGACAGAACTGATTGACAAGATAACAAATGAATAAAGCTAAATTTGACCTTATATTTAATTTAATTAAACAATCCTTCCAGTGGTTTGCTTTTCTCCTTTTAGCAGTATGTCTCTTTCTGATTCTCCAGTATGCTCACTAGCACTCACTTGTTCAGTAATGGTAAGAATTACAGACTGATCTCATAAAATGGCGTATGTATGACACACCAATTCGTATGTCCATTTTTAGCGTGCTATCAACACACATAATTGCTTTTCAGTGTGTTTATGAGTTAATGTTACATTACTGTATATATAAATATATGACCTACCCCAACCCCATCCCTAAACCTACCCGTCACTGGGGTTAATACCATTTATGAGTCTTCCCCTACCATCCTAGGGAAAAAAAATCAGACTAAACGCACCAAGATATTTAGACAACTAATCAAATTCTTACAGCTGAGCAATGTTTCACATCTTTACTCATTTGGCTCTCTATGCAGATATCCCTTTTTCACTTTAAGAGAACCAAACATTTAAGTATGGTGCACATAACAATTAAGCTTGATTGGAACTTTCCTTCTAGAGAAGACTGAATTAAAGTCTCAAGTATCTTTGATGACCCTCTTCCTGATTCACAGTGAAACACTAAATAGCCAGCAGCTTGCTTCATTTGTGGATTCCTTTTCAATGGTATGTAGACAGTTTACAAAGCCCACAAAGGGCAGTAGACCCTTTGGGATTGTTTTAGAATAGACTTGTTTGTTTTGGCATTTGGTTGGTTTTCATTGCATTAAAAAAAGAAAAAAAAGATTGATTGTTAATTGCCTGCTGCTACATATCAAGCATTCAGATCAATAATTGGCCAAACCACAGATGACAAGAACGCCACAGTTAGGGATTTTGTTTATTGTCAAGAATAAGTGTTCTTATAGATCCAAATGATTAGTCTTGGATTAGAAAGACTAGATCGGAGATCCAAATCCTAAATGGTATTTAAGAAAAGTGTTCACGTGAATCTGAATGTGATGGGTTTGAGGCTGTTGAGAGATCACCAATCTCCCCACACAGTGAAGGGTATGTGCCTGCTCATATCTCAACCCCTCATGCATAAAGAAGCCACTCTCCTCTTTAAATCCAATCTCTGTGGCTTTTATCTGCTCTCACACATGCATTTTCATACTTCTGTGGAACTTATTTTCCTTTGTGATTAGACACTTGCTCTGTTTGAATTACTATTTCACTTGATTGAGGAACCCTTACATGAACCCCTCAGGTTTAGTCTGTTCCTTGTCCTGTATTGTTTAACATCTACGTTGAACCTTTTTTTAGGTTTACTATTAAACTACATACTATCACTCTTTTTTGGGCTGTAAATATTAGCGTACATTGAGTAGAGCAAACCTTAGTAAATCACCTTGCATGATTAATTTAAATACTCTCCTCCCATAAATTTTGCATTTGAAAGTGAAACTCCCACACATGCATATGCAATAAGTTCAGCCGCAAAAAAAAAAAAAAAAATCAGTGCTAATTTTTCAATGTGTGTCTTTAGTAAATCCTGACAGTAGTTTTTAATGCCAAAAGAGGGTTTGCGCTGGCTGTTGGTAAATCTGACCCTTAATATTTAAGTTCAATGTAAATATTAGAATTTTTAATTGGCATAAATTAATTTGTGAATATATGTCAAAGTGGCCAAACATGGTTATTTTAAAACGTTGATAAATTCCACCACAGGATAGTGGGAACATAAAACAACAGGCGATAAAGGCTTGTCTGGTAATAGCACATGAAAAATAATCCTCCAGTCTATGCTATGCTCCCTGTATGTGATCAGCTCAGCGATTATTAATTGACATTGATGGATATTATTATATAAATATTATTATAGCAAATATTATTTGCTTTTGTAGCATTATATAAAAATGTATGACTACTTGTACTCTTACTGAAGCCAGCATGTGGATGGGCCTCAATATAATTGTCTGGTGTTTGCACTTTGTCAGTCCCATTCTGCTAAGTTGCACAAAATCATATAGGAAACCCTTTCAGTTCCCCTCAATTTGGAACAGTGGGGTTTCACATGGTATCTGGTCCATCTTAATAAACACTTGTGCAGGATAAGGCATCTCAGCACATTTCATTTGTCACTTCAGTATAATATCAGGTCTTGTCAGCGCAGTATTTTAAATAATGCTTCAAGGCTGCACACACTTCATTCTCTGAGACAGATATTTCTTCCCTTTAGCTGACACATAATTACATTGAAATCTACGAGGTTTAAGCAAAATGATAACCTTTCTAGAAAGTCATATTCACAAATTCTACGGTGAACACACAAATTTGGGGTTACTGAAAATTCCTCCTTTTTCAAATGTGGAAGTAAGCTATCTATGAATGTGTGAGACTTCTTAAGTAGATGACACAAACACACACACACTGTCATTTAAGTGAATTCATATTGAAAAATCATGTTTTTCTAAACCTGTTTTGTCCAGTGTCTCTAACAGTAAACTCATCATATAAAAATATAAAAGAGAGAATTGTGTTTAATTAGTAAATAACTTGACACCATATTGTTTAAGTGCAGAACATACTGGCTAGCTTTACTGACTGCAGGTATAATTGTGGATTTTATATTAAAAAGAGTAAAAGTATTTTTTGTAACAAAATATAATGCAGATTTTAAAATGACATTACAATAGACATTTTTGTTCATGGAGAAATTAAGTTGAAAAAAAAAAAAAACATTTTATTGACCTACTAGTAGCTAAGCCTGAGGGAAATATAACAATAAAATGAATTACCTTTATAATAAATAATGTGTTTACTTTGTGTTAAAGTTTTTTGTCTTTAGAACAATATACATTTTTTTAATCAATATTAAATCAAAATTTAAGGTTTGAAACAAACTGTAAATATAATTTATTCAAAAAAAATACATTTGTTTGCAACACATTAGAGTATAAATTGAAAATTACAGATTGCAGTGCATGGTAAATCTATTTGCGATAATAGAATAATATGACAACAAATACCAATTTGCAACATCAAGCAGCATAACATTTTTGTATTGCTAAAGCAGTTTACTATACAAGATGAAAATGGCCATGCTCGATCTTACATTAAA